CTTGGCTGACTTCACTTACTCATGCACTAATTTAATTCATTTAATACCCAGTATTTATTTGAATTTTGTATTAGTTAGGACTCTTGGTTGTAAGCGACAGAAACATAACTCACTCTGGCTTAGGCATAAAAGGGAATTTTTTGCCTTTGCAATTGCAAGCATAGATGGCAGGCATGACTGCATCCACGAGATCATTCTCATTCCTTCTCTCTTCTGTGTTGGTTTCATTCTCTGTCAAGCTGCCTTTGTGGTGGCCAGATGGTGACAGCAGCTCCTACCTGCGAAGTAAGTCCAGTGCAAAGAAAAGTATTTTTTTTTTCCCCAGTAGTTCTAACAAAGTCCCAGGGAAGAAGCTCATTGGCTGGCTTAGGTCACGTGTTTGTCCCTGAACCAATCACTGTGACCAGAGAGATGAAAGGCTCTGATTGGCCAGACCTGGGTCTCATGACCACCCGCCTAAACCATAAGAGCTGAGAATTGCAGGGGTGGGTCCTAGAGGAAAATGGCAGTGTTGTCAAGAGAAGAAGGGGAAAGGGATCTGGGGCAGGCAAGACCCACAGCTTTCTGCCACATGTGCTCATGCTCAGCCAGGCCCGGTGCTGGGTTCTGGGGACCTTGTAGTAAACCAGACGTTGTGGTCCCTGCTCTCCTAGACCTTGTAGTCTAGCTAGGGAGCCAAAAATGGAAAAATAATGTCAGGAATGAGGGCTGGACAGTTAAACATGGTGAATATTCTGAAGGAGAAGCACAGCATAGCTCAGGGGGAACGTAAGGTTAGGAGGTGGGGGGACTGTAGCCTAGTCTCGGAGAGGGTCACGTAGGGCTTTTTGTGAGGAAATGATGTTTAGGCTGAGCCCTGAAAATTGGATACGTGCTAGTTAGGCTAAGGTGGAGTCCGAGTGGAGGAGAGTGTTCTAGATTCTTGCTATTCAAAGTGAGGCCAAGGGACCAGCAACACCTGCATTATTTACGAGCCCCTTAGAAATGTGGAATGTCAGGTTCCACCACTGAATCAGAGTCAGCTTTTAATTTTTTTATTTTTATTTTTTGAGATGGAGCCTTGCTCTGTCACCGGGCCAGAGTGCAGTGGCGCGATCTTGGCTCACTGCAACCTCTGCCTCCTGGGTTCAAGCGATTCTCCTGCCTCAGCCTCCCGAGTAGCTGGGATTACAGGCACCCACCACCACGCCCAGCTAATTTTTGTATTTTTAGTAGAAATGGGGTTTCACCATGTTGGCCAGGATGGTCTCAATCTCTTGACCTTGTGATCTGCCTCCCAAAGTGCTGGGACTACAGGCGTGAGCCACCACGCCTGGCCCAGAGTCAGCGTTTTACCGTCATTTCACAGTGATTTGTATACACATGGCAGCTTGAGAAGCACTGCTGTGGACCTCTGCACATGCCCTCAGGCAGTCGAGAGAGAGAAGGCGGCACCAAGAGGAACTGGAAGCAGATCAGACTGGCTGGTGAAGCCAGAGTTCGCGTTGGAGAGGCTGGGCGTGTAGGCAGGGACCAGATCAAGCAGACGCTTGGACATTTTGCTGAAGATTTTAGAGTTTATTCCTAGTTAAGAGCACTGGAGTCATTGATGATGTTACCCAGAGGATTAAGATGAGACTTTTGGAAAATCACCCAGCGTCATATGGCGAATGCGTGGCAGGAAACAGAGTGGAGAGGGGATGAGCCGAGGCTGTTGCAGGATCCAGGGGAGAGGACGGAAGGCTGACTTGGAGGGGCTGGTGGGGTGGTTTGGAAGTGGTTGGAGCTCAGATTTTGCAGGTGGTAAATTGATGAGATGGGAGATTTGGGGAGAAGGAGGCGGCGAGAATGGCTCCCAGGTTTGTAAGCGCTAGATACATGGGACAACCATTCTCTGAGATAAAGGTTGGTGCAGGAGGGAGGGTTAGGATTCAATTCTTCTTCTTTTAGATTAAAAACAATTTTTTAAGGGACAGGGTCGTGCTCTGTCACTCAGCCTGGAGGATAGTGGTTCATTCCTAGGTCACTGCAACCTCCCACTCCTGGGCTCAAGGGATCCTCCCATCTTAGCCTCCCAAGTAGCTGGGAATATAGGCACGTGCCACCGAGCCCAGCTAATTTAAACATTTTCTGTAGAGATGAGGTCTTGCTGTGTTGCCCAGGCTGCTCTCAGATTCTTGGGTTCAAGCCATCCTCCCACCTTGACCTCCCAGAGTGCTGGGATTACAGGTGCGAACCACCGCACCTTGTCGAGGGGTCACCTCTCAGTTGGATATGCCTGAGGCTCAGAAGAACATTCTGGGCTGGAGGTAAAAATCTGGGAGCCCTTCTCCTAGAGAAGGGAATGGAAGCTTTGGGATGAGGGAGCGCTCTAGGGAGAGGATGGAGCGAGAAGAGAGGTTCCTGGGGCAGCACCTCAAGGGAACCCCCCAGGTAAAGGCTGGTGCTGGGGTCTCTGCAGAGGAGGCTGGGCCAAGACGTGGAGGGAGGAGCATTTCGTGGCAGTGGGACTGGCAGCGGTGGGACTGCTGCTGAGAGGCCAAGTACGGTGCAGAGTGCACAGTGGCCACTGCGCCCTGTGGCCTGGCAGTTGCTGGGGATGTAACTCAGACCAGCCCTGGGAGGGGTGGGGTGGACAGCAGACGGCCGTGTGTTGAGGAATGGGTGGCGATGGTGAGAGTCAGAGGGTGTAGACGGTACTTGTGAGGTGGGGAGCCTGGAGTGCGAGGAAATGTGGAGCAGAGGGAGTGAGGCAGGGGTGCTCAGGAATCTGGACCACAGCAGGGATTATTTTTAACACATTCTTTCAAAAAATGATTTATGAGCATCCACCGGGTGCCTGCCCCTGCTGTGCTCTCCCATGAAGGCTGGCGGGAGGGGCCACAGGCAGGCCCGGAGCAGAGCAGCCTCAGGGAAAACTGAGCAGCTGCAGTCAGGAGAGGGCCCTCCCTCCTCCTCCCCTGTGTTTTGTCCTTCTCCTCTCTGAGCTCAGCTCAGGAATTTCCCAGCCTGTGACTTTACTGCCCAGACCCCACGCGCAAGGTCAGAGCTGGGAACGGAGGAAGAGGCGAGGGATTGTCCTGGGAACTCAGACTGGGTGGGGTTCCTTCTGTGGTTGGGATTGGGGGTCAGTGTGTGTGGTGTGCCTGGCCCGAGGGGTCTCTTTGTGACTGTCATTTGGGTTCATTCTGTGGCTCAGACAGCCTGTGGCCACAGTTAGGAGTCTGTCTCTGGCGAGGACGCTTTTTCCCTTTGTGTGAAAGCTAACCGCCCGTAGGGGATTTAAAACCACAGTCCTCACCTTCCACCAACCTGCTCACCACAGGGGTGCCCCATCACAAAAGGGATGACATTGATGAAATAATATTGCGACTTCTGCTTGCAGGCTGTCCGATTCTTTCCCTAACTTGAGTTCCCTGAGCACAGCAACTGTGTCCTATTCTTTGGGGCCCCCAGGCCCTGGCTTAGGGTGGGGACCTGGGACTTGTTTATGGGATGACTGTAAGGGACACCTCGGTCAGGGGAGCTTGTTCTGCTCCTGACCCTCCACTGCTCTGGTTCTGGCTGGATCTTATATCTCAGCAGACCAGGGCTCTACCTGCCACATCTCTGTCCTAGGGACAGGGTGAGGTGAGGCCAGGCCTGTGCTTGGTTGACACCTCCCAGGTTATTGTAGCACACTGAGGCCAGAGACGCCCTGGGTGGAGGGTGGCCTCTCTCTGAGGGTCCCTGGCCCTGAGGGTTCGTGAATCAGTTCTCTGTTCTTTGAGCCTCGGGCAGTGGGAGAAGGCTTCACCCGGTTCTCTTGGTGGTGCAGGCTCAGGGAGGGTGTGGCAGGGGTACCCCTGGTTGATTAGCTCGGGAGTCACAGAAGTTTGGGAATGGACAGTCCGTTTCCTTCATAGGTAAACGGGAAGCCCCGAGGTAGGAAATGACTCTCCCAAGGCAGCACCGAAGACAGCTGTGTTCCTCCTCTAGTCAATAGAATAAGTTACATTCTTTATTTTTAGTTTTCTTTTTATAATTATTTTTTTTGAGGCGGAGTCTCGCTCTATCGCCCAGGCTAGAGTGTAGTGGCCGGATCTCAGCTCACTGCAAGCTCCGCCTCCTGGGTTCACGCCATTCTCCTGCCTCAGCCTCCTGAGTAGCTGGGACTACAGGTGCCCGCCACCTCGCCTGGCTAATTTTTTGTGTTTTTAGTAGAGACGGGGTTTCACTGTGTTCGCCAGGATGGTCTCGATCTCCTGACCTCGTGATCCGCCTGCCTCAGCCTCCCAAAGTGCTGGGATTACAAGTGTGAGCCACCGTGCCCGGCCTATTTTTATTTTTTGAGATGGAGTCTCTGTCGCCCAGGCTGAATGGAGTGCAGTGACGCGATTTCGGCTCACTGCAACCTCCGCCTCCCGGGCTCAAGCGGTTCTCCTGCCTCAGCCTCCCGAGTAGCTGGGATTACAGGTGCGCACCACCACGCCCCGCTAATTTTTACACTTTTAGTAGAGACGGGGTTTTGCCATGTTGGGCAGGCTGGTCTTGAACTCCTGACCTCAAGTGATCCGCCAACCTCGGCCTCCCAAAGTGCTGGGATGACAGGCGTGAGCCACCGCGCCCAGTCCAGGATAAGTTAAATTCTAAGATCCAAACTAGTTTTGGTCAAGTGGTCGGCTCATCTCACGCTTGTGGGCCCAGGGATGGCCTCTCGTGGCTCTCCCACTGGGAAGGGCTGGCTGGAGCAGTAGCTGGCCTCCAGCCTGAGCATCTCCCCCGCGCTCACCCCGGACCCCCACCCTCACTGGCGTGCCTGCTGCTACCCATCCTGTATGCACCCTCCCCCACCTCTTTGCTGTTTGTTTTTCAAGGGGATTTTTTTTATTTTTTGCTAATGTGAAGCTGATAAAAGCAACCAAAGAGATGCTGACCAGATGGGCTGAATGAGATCCCAGTTCCCAGCCAGACCTCAAACTGGCTGGTGCTGGATGGGCTGGGAGAGGGGCTTGGGGCTGAGTCTGTGGGAATGCCGTGGGTGGTTTCCAGGCCCACATTTTTTTTTTTTAGGAAGCTGGTTTTTGTGCCCCAGTGGGTCAGCAGGCATTTAGGGAGGGCCATTTGTGTGTCCAGAATTGTGCTGAGTCCTTTGGGGTCACATCAGAGCTGCAGTCCTCTATCCTCAGAGGCCTGCCGTCTACAGGGGCCCTAACTGAGTGGGAGAAACCAGGTGGCTCAGCAGGTGACAAGGCTCAGATGTGAAATGTGGCTTCTCACTGGGGAGGAGAGGAGGGGAAACGCTATGTGGGGAGGTGGGATAGGGTAGGGTGGGGTGGGGCAGCCAGAAGGGGCCCTAATGGCAAGCATGGGGGTCAGGGTGCCCCCCTGGCATCGTAGACAGTAAAACCGTCCCAGGCCCTGTGAAGTAAAAGGGTCGATTCTCCCGATTCTCTCGGCGCTCACGGGAAGGACACAGGGCATTTCGTTGAAGTCCACTCTGCTGGGACTTGACCTGACCTTGTCCCTGGAGCCGCACCAGGCCCTGCGCCGGCTCGGTCAGCTGGGAGGTGGCCCTTGCTCAGCCTTCCACACCCTTCTTTGTGCAAGTCTGAGGCCAGCCGCTCTCAGACCTTCTGCTTTCCGGAAGAGGATAGTGGAGGCTTGAAGTTCCCACTGCAGGGACCAGCAGAAAGTCTTGTTCCTCCCTTGCTCCTTGGCGTGTGGCTCTCCACGGCCAGCGAATGCCCCCATCGCCTCCATGCTAGGTAAGGCGGGTGTGCAAGCTTCCTATGCCAGGGAAGAGAATGGAGATCAGAGGAGCCTCCTTGCCCCTCGCTGTCCCTCTGGGCAGAGCTGGGCTGGGCCTCCCTTTCCAGCTCATGGATTGCCCACCAGCCACCCTCTCTCCCTGGGGTTGGGGGGTGGCGTGGGGGGCTTCTGTTCCAGCTTGTAGCACGGCCCCCAGCCTGATTTCATCTCTCTTGTTTGTTCCTGGTTCCTGTCTCCTTCTTCTGTTAGGCTGTGTGAGGAGACTATCCCCCAGTCAGGGTTGAGTGACAGCGTCAGCCCTCGTTACATCCACCGGCTTTGGATGGATGAAGGGAGGGGAGGCATTCGTGGGAGGGTTGACGGGAGCCTTTTTGGGCCGGGGCAGGAAGGGCTGAAGGACATCAGCAAGGAGGTTTGGTTTTTTGTTTGTGTGTTTTTTGAGACGAAGTCTCGCTCTTGTCCCCCAGGCTGCAGTGCGATGCTCCCGAGTAGCTGGGATTACAGGCGTGAGCCCCCACGCCCGGCTAATTTTTGTATTTTAGTAGAGACGAGGTTTTGCCATGTTGGCCAGGCTGGTCTCGAACTCCTGACCTCAGGTGATCCACCCGCCTCAGCTCTCAAAGTACTGGGATTACAGGCGTGAGCCACCGCGCCCGGCCAGGAGGTTTGGTTTCTCCCTCTTGAAGAAACTTGGAGGCCAGGTGCTGTGGCTCACGCCTGTAATCCCAGCACTTTGGGAGGGCAAGGCAGGTGGGTCACCTGAGGTCAGGAATTTGAGACCAACCTGACCAACATGGCAAAACCCCATCTCTACTAAAAACACAAAAGATTAGTCAGATGTGGTGGCGAGTGCCTGTAATCCTAGCTACTCGGGAGGCTGGGGCAGGAGAATGGCATGAATCTGGGAGGAGGAGCTTGCAAGTGAGCCAAGATCACGCCACTGCACCTCACCCTGGGTAAGAGAGCGAGACTCCATCTCAAAAAAAAAAAAAAAAAAAAAAAAAAGAAAGCCCTGTACAGGGACAGGAGCGGACAGATACTTATTTCCACATTCCTACTGCTGGAGGGAGGCCCTCGCTGAAACTCTGTGGGTCCTGGGAGAGTCACCTCTGGTCTCTACATCGACTGCGTTTCTGTTGCCGCTCCGGACATGGTTGGGGCACAAGGCCATCTCCTCAGGAGCCACTGCCCATTGTTCCCTTGAGTCCATCCAGAGCCAAGGGAAGTTCACGTCTGATTTAAGGCAGGTGTGAGGAAGGGCTTATTTGGCTACTGAGGGTGAGGATGCTAACTAGGAGGCTTTAAGAACATGGAGGCCGGGCGCGGTGGCTCAAGCCTGTAATCCCAGCACTTTGGGAGGCCGAGACGGGCGGATCACGAGGTCAGGAGATCCAGACCATCCTGGCTAATATGGTGAAACCCCGTCTCTACTAAAAATACAAAAAACTAGCCGGGCGAGGTGGTGGGCGCCTGTAGTCCCAGCTACTCGGGAGGCTGAGGCAGGAGAATGGCGTAAACCCGGGAGGCGGAGCTTGCAGTGAGCTGAGATCCGGCCACTGCACTCCAGCCTGGGCGACAAAGCGAGACTCCGTCTCAAAAAAAAAAAAAAAAAAAAAAAAAAAGAACATGGAGATGTTGGCTGGGCGTGGTGGCACGTGCCTGAAATCCCAGCATTTTGGAAGGCTGAGGCAGGAGGATCACTTGAGTCCAGGAGTTTGAGACCAGCCTGGGCAACACGATGAGATCTCATTTCTGCAAAAAATTAAAAAATTAGCTGGGCCTGGTGGTTCATGCCTGTAGCCCCAGTTACTCTGGAGGCCAAGGTGGGAAGATGGATTGAGCCCAGGAGATGGAGCTTGCAGTGAGTTAGGATTGCGCCACTGCGCTCTAGCCTGGGTGACAGAGCAAAACCCTGTTTCAAAAAGAAAAAAAAAGAAAAAAAAAAGAGAATATGGAGATGTCTGCATTTGTACCTACTTACCTGCATGCGTCTCCCTCCTCACCTGTGCACACGTGAGCATGTACCTGTTTTCCTTGATTCTGTTCATGTTTTAAGGCCAACTCACTTACGCTTCTGGAAGATTACTGTAGGTGTCACTGGAATTTTAAAAATTTGCAGACGTGGAAATGCATAAGTCTTAACTGTATTGTATACTTTGACTAATGGTACATCCACAGGACCCATACCTTGATCAAGAAACAGGACATTTCTGCCACCTCTGAAAGCTCCCATGTCCTGACCCAGTCAATCATAACTGATCCCTTGAGGACCAAACACTGTTCTGATTTTTTTCAAAAATGAGTTTTGCCGGGCGCGGTGGCTCACGCCTGTAATCCCAGCACTTTGGGAGGCCGAGGCGGGCGGATCACAAGGTCAGGAGATCGAGACCACGGTGAAACCCCGTCTCTACTAAAAATACAAAAAAAATTAGCCGGGCGCGGTTGTGGGCGCCTGTAGTCCCAGCTACTCGGGAGGCTGAGGCAGGAGAATGGCGTGAACCCGGGAGGCGGAGCTTGCAGTGAGCCGAGATCGCGCCACTGCACTCCAGCCTGGGCGACAGAGCTAGACTCCGTCTCAAAAAAAAAAAAAAAAAAAAAAAAAATGAGTTTTGTCTGTTCTAGAACTTAATTTTTTTTTTTTGAAATGGGGTCTTGCTCTGTTGCCCAGGCCAGAGCGCAGTGATGTGATCTCTGCTCAGTGTGACCTCTGTCTCCCGGGTTCAAGCGATTCTCCTGCCTCAGCCTCCCCAGTAGCTGGGATTACAGGTGCCCGCCACCACTCCCGGCTAAGTTTTTTGTATTTTTAATAGAGACGGGGTTTTACCATGTTGGCCAGGATGGTCTTGAACTCCCAACCTCAAGTGATCCGCCTTCCTCAGCCTCCCAAAGTGCTGGGATTACAGGTGAGAGCCACCGTGCCTGGCTGGTGACTGTTTATATGAAACAGCTACACTATTGCCAGATGGTCAGGCCATTTTATATCCTCACCAGCAGTGTCATTGGAGGTCTGGCTGCTCCACATCCTCACCAACATTTGCCATTGTTGGTTTTAACACTTTTAGCCACTTGAACGGTGTCTCATTGTGGTTTTAATCTACATTTCTCATGAATAATGATGTTGAATATTTTTCATATTGACTATTTATTGACTATTCTTATAGTTCTTTTTGGCCTTCCTCCCCGCTTTAAAATTCAGTAGTCTTCTTGTAGGTGTTCTTTACATATTCTAGTCGAGTTCATTTCTTTTCTTCTTCTTTTGTTTTTTTTTTTTTGAGATGGAGCCTCGCTCTGTTGCCCAGGCTAGAGTGCAGTGGTACGATCTCGGCCCCCTACAACCTTCACCTCCCGGGTTCAAACGATTCTCCTGCCTCAGCCCGCCAAGTAGCTGGGATTACAGGTGCCCGCCACCACACCTGGCTAATTTTTAAATTTTTAGTAAAGATGGGGTTTCACCATGTTGGCTAGCCTGATCTTGAACTCCTGACCTCGTGATCTGCCCGCCTCGGCCTCCCAAAGTGCTGGGATTATAGGTGTGAGCCACTGCACCCGGCCTTCTTCTTTTTAAAAATAGAGATGGTGTCTCACTCTGTCACCCAGGCTGGTCTCAAACTCGTGACCTCAAGTGATCCTCCTGCCTGGACTCCCAATTTGTTGGGATTACAGGCTTAAGCCACCATTCCTGACCCATTTCTTTTTTTTCTTTTTTTAGTTTTTGGATATAGGGTCTCACTTTGTTACCCAGGCTAGAGTGCAGTGGTACGAACACGGCTCACTGCAGCCTCAACCTCCTGGGCTCAAGCCATCCTCCCACCTCAGCCCCCCAAGTAACTGGGACTACAAGCTTGTGCCGCCATGCCCGACTAAGTTTTGAATTTTTTTGTAGAGAGAGGATTTCACCCTGTTGCCGAGGCTGGTCTTGAACTCCTGAGCCCCAGCGATCCGCCCACCTCGGCTTTCCAAAGTGCTGGGATTACGGACGTGAGCCAACGCGCCTGGCCCATTTCTTTTCTTAACAGTGTCTTTAATGAGCAGAAGTTTTAATTTTGATGATGTCTAATTATGGACTCTTTTCCTTTTATGTCTGTAGCTTTGTGTGTCCTAAGAAGTCTTTGCTTACCCCAGCTCACAAAGATTTCCTTCCATGTGTTCGAGCTTTATTTTTATTTATTTATTTTTTTGGGATGGAGTCTTGCTCTGTCACCAGGCTGGAGTACAGTGGCGCCATCTCGGCTCACTGCAACCTGTGCTTCCTGGGTTAAAGTGATTCTCCTGCCTCAACTTCCCGAGTAGCTGGGACTACAGGTGCCCGCCACCACACCTGGCTAATTTTTTTGTATTTTTAGTAGAGACGGGGTTTCACCATGTTGGCCAGGATGGTCTCAATCTCCTGACCTCGTGATCCGCCCGCCTCAGCCTCCCACAGTACTGGGATTACAGGCATGAGCCACCGTGCCCGGCTAGAAGCTTTATTATTTTAGCTCTAGGTCTAAGATAAACTTGTTTTAATTTAATTATGTATGACGGTATGTTGGGGTCTAGGTTCATTTATTGCTGTATGGATATTCTGTTGTTCCGGTACTGTATGTTGAAAAGACTTACCTTTCCTTGTTTAATTGCTTTGGTGCCTTAGTCAAATCTCTGCCAGGCATGGACGTGCACACGTGTGTTTGTTTAGTGTCTCTCCCACCATGGTGTTTCTCTGCACCAGGGATGGAAAATACGTGACGTCTGTGCCATCAGTCCATCGTTTGGCTCCATGGCAGATATTGGTAATTGCACGGTCCTCTTTCCCAAGAGCTTAGACTTCGTCTCAGAATCCTGTTCAACAAAGCACTGTGGGCAGCCACTGGCAGTCATTTGGAGTTGTCATTTGAGACAAATTACTTCTGGCGTCTCTGATTGAAATCGTCACAAGAGGTTGAGTTATTTGCTGAAGGTCCCACAGCTGGTGAGTGGCAGAGCCAGGATGCGGGCTCAGGTTTGTCTGTGTGGCTCTGAAGCCTGTGCTATCGTCCCCACCTCTACAGACTGCTTTGCATGAATCATTTGAACAGGTCACTTCATCTCCCTGACCTCTAGTCTCTTCACTTGTATCATAGGGATGGTGGCCACCAGGAGGAGTGGGTGTGAGCAGTAATGAGGTCATCCACAAAGTTGCTAGTGGAGCATCAGATACGTAGGTGCTCAGTGATGGATTGTGACGATGGCGATGATGACAATGATGGTCTGTGATGATGGCGATGATGACAATGATGGTCTGTGATGATGGCGATGATGACAATGATGGTCTGTGATGATGGCGACGATGACAGTGATGGTCTGTGACGATGGCGATGATGACAATGACAGCAATGATGATCTAGGTTCAGTTGTTGCCCTTGAGAAACACAGAGTCAGGGCTTCTCTCTAGGGAACCCAGAGTAGCTGGCTCATCAGAGTCCCTTGCCTCTTCCTATGTATCCTCGGGCCCCTGGCCTTCCAAGCTGGAGGCCCCAAAGTAAAGCCGTGCTTCCTTAAGTTTGCTAATAGAGCACAAGCCACGGGCTTTGGCCTAAGCCTCTAGGCCAGCTGAGCTGTGCTCCTTCTCTCTTTGTGGGAGGAACAGCTGGCTGGGTTCCCAGAGTTCTCTTTCTGGGCACCTTCTTGCCCTCTCCATTGATTTTCCAGCCCATCTTTCTTTCCTTTGGATTGGCCAAGTGATCTCCCCTGCCACAGGGGCGATTAATCCAGCTCCTTTGACCTGGTCCTGGGCCCCTCTGAGGTTCTTCTTAAGAACTTGAAGCAATAGAGAGTTGTCGCTAAGAATACAGTTTTTGGAGCCAGTTAGCCTGGGGTTAAGGCTTCCCCAGTTCTTCTTCTTCTTCTTTTTTTTTTTTTTGAGACAGAGTTTTGCTCTTCTTGCCCAGGCTGGAGGGCAGTGGCATGATCTCCGCTCATTGCAACCTCTGCCTCCCGGATTCAAGTGATTCTCCTGCTTCAGCCTCCCGATTAGCTGGGATTACAGACATGCGCCACCACACCTGGCTAAGTTTGTATTTTTAGTAGAGTTGGGGTTTCTCCATGTTGGTCAGGCTGGTCTCGAACTCCTGAGCTCAGGTGATCCACCCGCCTTGGGCTCCCAAAGTGCTGGAATTATAAGTGTGAGCCACCACGCCCAGCCATTTTTGGTATTTTTAGTAGAGACGGGGTTTCACCATGTTGGCCAGGCTGGTCTCGAACTCCAGACCTCAGGTGATCCTCCCGCCTCAGCCTCCCAAAGTGCTGGGATTACAGGCGTGAGCCACCATGCCTGGCCCCCACCCCTGCTTTTTAAAATTCATTTTTATTTTGAGATGGAGTCTTGCTCTGTTGCCCAGGCTGGAGTACAATGGCACAATCTTGGCTCACTGCAACCTCCACTTCCTGGGTTCAAGCGATTCTCCTGCCTCAGCCTCCCAAGTAGCTGAGATTACAAGCACGTGCCACTACGCCCAGCTAATTTTTGTATTTTTAGTACAGATGGCGTTTAACCATGTTGACCAGGCTGGTCTCGAACTCCTGACCTCAGGTGATCCACTTGCCTCAGCCTCCCGGAAGTGCTGGGATTACAGGCATAAGCCAGTGCACCTGGCCAAAGTTTACCCACTTCTTAGCTATATAACCTCTGCGCATCTCAGTTTCCTCTTTTGTAGAATAGGGATGTATTAGTCCTGTCTCGCATTGCTCTGAAGTAATACCCGAGACTGGATAATTTATAAAGAAAGGAGGTTTGGCCAGGTGTGGTGGCTCACACCTGTAATCCCAGCACTTTGGAAGGCTGAGGCGGGCAGATCATGAGGTCAGGAGTTCGAGACCAGCCTGGCTAATATGGTGAAACCCTGTTTCTACTAAAAATATAAAAATTAGTCAGGCATGGTGGCGGGCACTTGTAATCCTAGCTACTCGGGAGGCTGAGGCAGGAGAATCACTTGAACCTGGGAGGTCGAGGTTGCAGTGAGTCGAGATCGTGCCATTGTACTCCAGCCTGGGCAATAGAGGGAGACTCGATCTTAAAAAAAAAAAAAAAAAAAGGCAGTTTAACTGGCTCACAGTTCTGTAGGCTGTACAGGAAGCGTGATGGTGGCATCTGCTTGGCTGCTGGGGTGCCTCAGGAAACTTTTATTCATGACTAAAGGCGAAGCAGGAGGAGGCACGTCACGGGGCCAGAACGGGAGTGAGGGAGCGAGGGAGGGTGCCGCACACTTTAAACCAGATCTCATGAGAATTCACCCACAATGTCGAGGACAGCACCAGGGAGGGATGGTGCTAAACCGTTCATGAGAAATCCACCCTGTGGTCCAGTCAGCTCCCAGCAGGCCCCACCTCCCGCACTGAGGGTTACAGTCTCATGTGAGATTTGGGCGGGGACACAAACCCAAACTATATCAAGGATAGTAAGAGTACCTGCCCTGTGTGGCTCTAGTGAAGATTAATTGAGATGATATGCCTTTATCGCTTAGAACAGCGGTATGCAGTAAGTGCTACGTAAATATCAGTCGTTATTATTCCTCCAAAAAACTGTGTTTCTGAAATGTGCGGAGAATAGCAATGCTTAGAGAGACTGGGGGGGAAGTACACCAGGTTTTCTGTGAATATAGTTTGTCAGGGTGCCCTGATTTCTGCCTTGCCAGGTGCCCGCAGCTGAGGGGCCTGTCTTTGGAATGAACAAGGATTGACATTTTGTGTGGGTGGCCCTACGAGAGCCTTGTGTATCAGACTCAAAACCCTGCCTGATAAATGTGGATGCCCTTGAGGGTCTTGGAAAAAGGCTAAAAACCAGGATCCAGCCCAGCATCTGAGCCAGACCTGGAGGAAGGAACATATTTCTGAGTTGTGCTTCCAACTCTTGCCTTCTGAATCTGACCTAAACAGGGGGCCCCGGCGAGGGGAGGGAGCAGAAAGAACCTGCAGGGTCGCCATCTTCATAAAGGTTTTTGGGCCTGAGTCGAGACATGGGTAATTCGGGGTTGTGGAGAGGCCCGAGGCTGGCCTTGGGATACGTTTTATGAGCAGTTTGTCCTCATCAGAAGTTTCTTTCCTAACTCCTTTTGCCTGTAGCTGATATTAAAATGAGTCTGTATTTCGGGGATAGATACTGACCTTGTGGGGAACATGATAAAGTGGGGGGCAGGGCCTAAAAGCCATGGGGGGCCAGGCAGGGGTACAGCTGCCCTTTCAGCCTGAGTGACCCATGGTCTGGGAGTCTGGGCTGATGGTAAAGGTGACTGGCTGCCAGGCCCTCCTTCCGTCGCCCTCTCCATTTTCCTTTTCTCTTTTTTAATTTTTTTATTTTTTGAGATGGAGTCTTGCTCTGTTGCCCAGGCTGGAGTGCAGTGGCACGATCTCGGCTCACTGCAACCTCTGCCTCCTGGGTTCAAGCGATTCTCCTACCTCAGCCTCCCAAGTAGCTGGGATTATAGGCACCCGCCACCACACCTGGCTAATTTTTTTTTTTTTTTTTTTTTTTTTTTTGAGACAGAGTCTCGCTCTGTCGCCCAGGCTGGAGTGCAGTGGCCAGATCTCAGCTCACTGCAAGCTCCGCCTCCTGGGTTCCCGCCATTCTCCTGCCTCAGCCTCCCGAGTAGCTGGACCACAGGCGCCGCCACCTCGCCCGGCTAATTTTTTGTGTTTTAGTAGAGACGGGGTTCGCCGTGTTAGCCAGGATGGTCTCGATCTCCTGACCTTGTGATCCGCCCGTCTCGGCCTCCCAAAGTGCTGGGATTACAGGCTTGAGCCACCGCGCCCGGCCTGCCTGGCTAATTTTTATATTTTTAGTAGAGGTGGGATTTTGCCATGTTGGCCAGGCTGGTCTTGAACTGTTGACCTCAGGTGATCCACTCGCCTCGGCCTCCCAAAGTGCTGGGATTACAGCATGAGCCACCACATCTGGCCTCCTTTTTTCTTTTTTTTTTTGTTTGAGACAGGTTCTCTGTCGCCCAGACTGGAGTGCAGTGGTACGATCATGGCTCACTGCAGCCTTGACCTTCTGGGCCCAAGCAGTCCTCCTACCTCAGCCTCCCAGGGAGCTGGGACCACAGGTGTGCACCACCACGCCCTGCTAGGCTTAAACAGATTTTTTTTTTTTTAATTTGTAGAGGCGGGGTCTCCCTGTGTTCCCAGGCTGTCCTCTCCCTTTTTCTTGTCGTGCTCTTCGCCTCTTTCTGCCTGTTGGTGAGGGCTCGGCTCTGGCTCACTTTGCTGGCATTCAGAAGACTTATAGAGCACTTGGCATTCAGGGTGTCACCCAGGGGATGCTCCCAGCGCCCCCCGCCCCACCCCAGGCATCCCACCTGCCGTTGGAGGCCTGACCAGCCATCCCACCCCAGAACTTAGTCCCTGGGTCTGTGATGTCCCTGCCTGTTTTCAGGTCCTGCCTCCCCCACGGGATGGTGCTGGGTCTGGGTCTTGCCTCTTCCTGGGATTTAGAAACCAGTCGTGTGACATCGTGCAGTTCAGTCATCTTCTGTGAACCTCGGTTTCTTCATTTATAGAACGGAGCTCACCCTGTAGGGTGACTGCAAGAATTACAGGAGGAAGCAGGCGGACAAGGGCTCCGTAAGGTGCCAGGCTTCCTGCAGGTGTCGAATATCAGCACATAATGGACACTAGTGGTTCTTATCATGGTCAATATGCCAAACACGCGTAGGGTGGTTCCATTGATAATCCCGCTCTTCTTCTCTGCCAGCCGCCATAGACTCTTCTCCACTGAGACCGGCTCAGCAGCGGGATGCCGCCAGATTCTGTGTTCTGAC